CAAATTCTTTTGGTCCTCTCTGATAGTTCTGTAGATCAGCCCTGAAAAAAGCCTTACTGAAAAGCAGGTTACCCTTCTGCACTTGTTGACCCATGCGTGTTCATTTGCATCACCCTAGAAGGCAGACTGTGAAATGGAGATGTTCCCCTTTGCCAATCGCTTCCTCCTCATTCATGTTAGCGGGCGGGGGGGCTGTCACTAGCCAGTGCCATAGTCAGCCTGGCAGATTTGTATTTTAAAGTGGTGCTAATCCAGAAGTGATTGTGTAGAAATAACCCCTTCAGATCCTGCATATCAGCTCCTGGAGTCGCATCTGCCAGCTTTCCCTGGCACAAACAAGTCATTACCCCGTCCGCTCTGCGGGAGAGTGAGACCGGGTCCTTTTGTCTCACTTCTCACAGGTGGAGTAGGTGGCTGTGTTCCAGTTGCAGGTCTCTTGCCAGTGGTGCTGGCAGAGCCAGAAACATTCCAGCTGGGGCTTCAGATCCTGCCTTGAGTTTGTGCACTGGTAGTTTGAATGATTGGGCCAAGAGACAAGGGGCACATCTCCCCTGGAAGGCAATGCACCTGTTTATGCCAGGGCTTAACCTACATCTTACACAGCAAAACACTGGGCTGGAGAGACAAGAACCTTAACTGCAGTGAAGCCGCCTCTCCACTACAGGCTAGGGGGGACCCTGCAGGGTCATTTTTATATTCGGGCTGTAGCTACACTGGCAACAGTGGGAACCTGGTTTGCCCCCCCTGCGCCATAGCAGCGGCAGAAGCTGTAGCATATACAGTCCTCAGGTGGGCTTAAGGTTTTTAGTCACAATGTCACACAACCCTGCTTGGAGCGGATTTAGGTGATGGGGGGGGGGGTGCTGGTGGTAATGTCTGAGCGTTGTCTGCTACAGCTTTTCCCGTTGTCTGTGGAGCTGCCCTGCTGGGGCCACTGGAGACCTGTCTCGTTCTCTAACTCCACAGTTCCACTGCTCAGACTCTTCCTAATTCTCAGTCACCGACCCGCTAATCAGGCCCGACCTGCACTACAAAAATAGCCATGTTGTGAACATGGTTGTAGCTAAAACGTGGCTGCTCCTTTTCTGTGTGAACAGGAAAGAAACACATTAACCGTATCCTAGCGTAGGTAGGACGTGGTTTCCGAAGGGTGGTCATAACGTGTGTGGTTCTGTGTACGTAGGCAAGAATAAAGGATGGTTGACCATGGTGGTTCTTGTAGTGTGGATGGGGCATAACCCAGCACCAGCTCTTCCCCTCTAATGTCTGCCTGGTTACTGCAGACGTGCGCTCGGAAGGGTCTGTTGTCCTCGTGGCACATGCCTGGAGCCCCTCCGGTGAAGTCCGTGAGAGGCCCTGCACGTGCACTGGGAGGTGAGGCACCACCTACAGTTCTTACCCAGTGCTAGCTGGAAACGCTGGCTTGAAATGACAGCACGCCGGCCTCCGGACATTCACGGCCAACCCACCCAGAGACGTCAGTCGGTTGGTGCTATGGGAGGGTTAACTTGCAAAAATCCAATTAAAATAACCCCTGTGGATTTCTCGAGGTCGAGTGAAAGCTCTTGCCGCTCATGCCTAGACTTCTCCTTCTTGCACTGTTATAACTTAGCAACGGCAAGTAGGTCTTATTAGGCCATTCCAGTGCAGTGCCTTGTTCGGGAGGGAAGGGAATCGGGTTTGGTTCTGATCGGTGGCAGCTGTCTGGGGTGCTGCAGAGCCAGCGTGCTCTCTCCTTCCCTCATCCCCCCTCCAGCCCAGTGCACATAGTGATTCTGTGGGTGTGTCTACACTACACGCTAGGCCTGGGGCTGTGACCCAGGCTTGTGGACTTGGTGTTTCCAAGCCCCTGCTTGAGTTTCCGCACTGCATTATGAATTTGGGTTTACAGGGCTGGAGCCATGTGTCACAGCTGTGCTAACACATCCATACTGCACTAAGCAGCTCTTCTGACTCAGCTTGGGGCGTGGCCTGCATCCACACTGCAAAATGACAGGGCTTGGACCTGAGTCACAACAGGACTCAGGTCCAAGGAGGAGGGAGAGAACTTGTTCACCTTAGCCTCTAAGGATAGAACCAGAAACAATGGGTTTAAACTGCAGCAAGGGAGGTCTAGGTTGGACATTAGGAAAAAGTTCCTAACTGTCAGGGTGGTTAAACACTGGAACAAACTGCCTAGGGAGGTTGTGGAATCTCCGTCTCTGGAGATATTTAAGAGTAGGTTAGATAAATGTCTATCAGGGATGGTCTAGACAGTATTTGGTCCTGCCATGCGGGCAGGGGACTGGACTCGATGACCTCTCGAGGTCACTTCCAGTCCTATAAACTATGAATCTAAGAACTCGGGCTCTTGCCCCCCCCCTGGCAGGTCCTGAGTGCTTTCGGGTGAGTAGCCAGAAGGGGGGCTTGGGCTCAGTGGGCAGTGTAGGAACACCCTGAGTGGCTCCAGAATGGGACCCATCTGTCCCCTCAGTCAGAGTGATGGTCCACTGACAAACATCCTCCCCCTCAGACCCCTGCTCTGGGGCCTTGTGCGACAATTGGGAGCGCTTAGCCTGGCTTTGTGCAGAGTGAATCCTGCACCTCCCATGGACAAGCCCCCGTAGAAAGCCTCCACTTGAGAACACCCCCAATGTCCTCAGGACAATCTCGTCATCTCTCTAAAGAGCTACCCACAGAAGAAACAGTCCTCTCTGTTGCCAAGGCAGGGTTCATTGGCTCTGCTTAGGTGCCATTTACCAGACTTACTGAGCCTTGTTCACCCCAAAGTCTCTGCTTTTCCGATGTTCCTAGCACCTTGCTGGCTGTCCTGCTCCTTTCCCATGGCAGAGTCTTGCACACGGCTTGAGAAACTGAAGGCACTTACAAGCCAGTGTTCTGAGTTCACTAGATGCTGCCTTGGTCAGATGTTTGTCCCTTTCCCCAGTGCTGGCTCCGTTCTGTTGTTAAGCATTATTTGAGCACTAGGAAAATAGTTTCATGTACTATCCTGCTCCCACTTCCCTGGCTAGTTCGTGCAGTTTTACAATCACATTTTGCTCTATTTTAAAATGCTTTCCTCTCCCGTGTTGCTGTATACAAGACCCACAGCAGCAAAGGAACTGGCTGACTACGGAGGAAAAGTGAAGTGGCTGTGCACCCAACGCTGTCGAATGCACAAAGTGAAGTGAAATCACTTGTCGTGATTTTCAGCAAGTCACAGAAGTTCCAGCGGAATCATCATACTTTAAGTTGATGTTCTCCCTTGAGCCACAGTAGATCTGTAAGGCCTTTTCACATCGCCTCTCACTCCAATACCAGCGTGAGTGCCATCCAAGAGCCTGTCTTGGTGATTAGCCAGAGCTTCTGCACCAGACGTGCAGAAACTGTCATGACGCACGTACCAGCCAAGTGCCAAATGTTCCTGCCCTCTGTTTACCATGGAACAAACAAATGTTTTACTTGCTCACCCCAAGCAGTCTGCTCCTTTTCATGGGTAGGCAGGTGAGTGGGGCTTGGCAGGCTGGGGACGGCTTCAGAGAAGGATGGTGCTGTGGGTGTGAGGCACTGGCATTGGACTTGGAAGAGCCAAATTCCATTCCTGTCTTTGCCACAAACTCCCAAGGTGACCTTGGGCAAATCACTTAACATCTCCGTTCCCCAACTTCAAAATGGTGACAGTGGTGCTCTCTTCTGTGCCCTGTGCCCCCTCCCCCTGTCTTGTCTATTGAGAGTGTAAACACTTCTCCTGAGGGATTCTCTCTGATTGTCTTCACTGGGCCCAGCGCGGGGCCCCACTGCTCTTGGCTGAGGCTCGTGGTGCTGTAACACAAAGAAGAGACGTAACCGCAGTGCTTGGAGCAGCGTACGGCCCACTGGAACAAAAGTCCTGAGTGTCATTCAGTGTTGTGAGCCGTTGGCAGTGGTGGTGCGTATGTATTTATTTGTATTTCAGTCATGTCTACAGGCCCCAATCCAGGGACAGGGCCCCGTTGTAGTAGCTGATGCACCACCCGTGAGAAGCCAGTCCTCGGCTGTTGTCGTAGAAGACAGCTGTGCTGCTAGAAGAGCTTGTTGTGCATGGAGAGGACATGAGCAGCTGACAGCACCCTGGGAGTGCGCGCGTCTGCTATGCTGTCGTAGTCAGACTCTGCTCCAAAGTTCCCATCAGGGTGTTGCAGTGGCAAATGAACAGTTTTGCCATGTGCTGTGCATTCTGCCTTTGTGTCCTTCTCGCTGTCATTGCATTAGCTGGGACATCCGCATGAAAACATCTGCTCCTGCGGTTTCTTCGCACCTGAAGCTACTTACGAAGCTAGTAATTAAAACGGAAGGCCTTGGCCTCCAGCACCTGGCCCGAGCGCTAAAGTCACATAAAATGAAAGCGTCTTGTATGTCTGCAGTGGGTCTTCAAGGGAACTCCACTTGCCGTTCAGTAAGGGGCACAGCCCTACAGTACGTGCCCAGAATAGTCTTTGCCACTGTCCGTGAATTGTAGCTTCAGAGAGAATTGAACCTGTGAAACTAGAGCTCTGCTCTCAGAACGGGGGCTGACGTCCCTGTCACCTTGGCCCATGCGTTGTGTTTGGCCCCAAATCCACAGGATGCCAGTATTCGCACTAGCTGGCTCTGCAGGCAGGGGAATGGCAGTGGAGTATTTCCAACACAGACTAGGAATATACGCGCAGCTATGAGGCAGTAGCTTCTCCAGTCAGCCGCTGGTTCTGGGGCCCTGGCGCAGGGGGAAGAATGATTATCATGCTGGTTTTACGCTGCGGCTTTGCGTGGCCCCCATCACTGGTGTATATGTGGTGTCATGAGCATGGATGGCAATAGTCTCCCATCGCCTCTCTCATCACCCTTTCCATGGCAGCAGGAAGTGGGAGGACCCAGGTTTTCAAAGCGGACTAATGATTTTGGTGCCCAACTTGAGATACGTCCGAGTGGCCTTGTTTTCAGAGGCAGGAAACCAGTGTGTTTGGAAAGTTGGGCCCCTTAAAGGCGTCTCAGATTAGGCTCCCAAAATCACTCCTGGGACTCTTGGCCCCTGTGTTTTGTTACTTGCACTAGGCACCACGAGTGGCCAAGGAAGCCGGGGCTCTGGGATACCTGTTCCTGCTAGCTGGTGTATTGATTTGTTTTGTCTATTTCAGAGACTAGAGAGGTGCATGGGCATTGTGACGTCGCTGACCAATGGGGTGTCGGAGAGGGAAGCTAACGATGCCCTAAATGCTCACGTAAGTGCCGGACATGGTTTTCCATTATCTGTTCTGGGGTAAGCCAGGGGTAGGCGAGGGCTTGTGCGCTGACCAGCGAGGGGTGGCTACTCCTCCCAGTTTGGTGATAACCCATTCATGCAGCATAACCCCTCGTAACTAAGTTTTACTCCAAGTCCATAAAGCAGACTTTCAGTATAAATACATGATTCCTTAAATCTTATCCACACATACATCTCGCAGTGATTCTGTCTTGGCAAGGTACAAGCTTTCTGTAGATACCTTACGTGTTACTCTTTACGGATGAGGATTCTGCAAGACGTGTTTGGTGTAGGGAGTTTGTCAGGTCTGAGGTGAGAGTTGTTTGCAAAGAACCGGGGACCCTTTGCCAAAGGGTTTCTGGGTCCCAGAAGTTAATCCTGACAAGAAGAAATAATTCACCCAGAGGCACCTCCACGAGACAGCAACCATGGGGGCTGTCAGCAAGCCAATCTGTAACCCTGCTAGGAGCAGTGGCACGGACGCTGTGCCATCTTCACCAATCTGAACACCGACCAGAAGTTTTCCAGAGTTGTTTTTTTTTTTAAAGAAAGACGCTTACTCCATGTCTAGTAAAATCCTCTGGCAGCAGTGCTACGCTGGGTTTCCTTGCTGAAACCTGGCTGGCTTTTTCCTCCCCCATCATAACCCACCCTGTCCGATTGCTCACGAGTGCTGGACTGTTGGTACTGATCTGCCACGAGAGGGGGGCGTGTGCATGTTTGTGAATACACACGTGCTCGTGGTGGTGGTGACATGCCTGGGATTGCAGTTATCATGCACTTCTTTGTACGCTCCCTCTGCATACACAGTTTGTCTCTGCTTGAGCTCCTTGGAATCCCCATTCCCAGTGGTACAATCTTCCCACTGCACTTGCTTCTAGTCCTGAAAAGTCCCCAAATCCTCGCCTGCTCCCCGATGATGTTACTGTGTAGAGAAAGCCCAAGTAATTTGTAGAGGTTCTAAAATGTATTGGCTGCAGTTTTCTCCTCCCTTGTATCTTTGGCTAGCTGGAGTCATGGCGCTAGGGGAGCCTGGCTTAGCAGGAGGAGGGATGCAAACATGGGGCCTGCCAAAGCCCACTGGTCTAGTGGGAGCCTTTCCCGTGTGGCTGAATGGCCAGTGAAGTGTGTGTCTCACAACCCTGTGAAGCCCCAGGTGTGGGAGGGTGCCTCACGGCACAGGGGTGCCCTGGAGGCCTTCAGGGTGATCCTGTGGGGTAACCTGCATCACTCAGGTGTGGCCTCGCTGCTTGTGAGTAATGTGGGCGTCCAGAAGTCCTGCCAGTAAAACCTTCAGACCACTCCCACCGCCATGGGGTCTCTCACTTAGGAAGAGCATTGAAGCATTGCTTAGACTACATATTTTAACCACAAAATGTGTGTGCGTGCACAGGTGGGTGGGTGTGTAGGAGGCACAGGACTCGGAGGACTTTGCAGATATGAACGATGGGGAAGCTCTGTAACTTCCTGCTGCTGAATTCGCTGGGGGCTGGACTGGAGCGTCCCTGTCCTAGAACTGAGAAGAGCCTCTCGCGTCGTCAACACCCCACCTGAGCGAGGCCTCGTGTTGCTCACCCGTGTTGCTTCCCCTTTCCTCTCGCAGGTGTGCAAAGGAGCCCCTCAGCATGAGGAGATCTGTCTTGGCCTCTTCACCCTGGTCCTCACAGAGCCGGCTCAGGCACAGAAGGTAAGGCACGGCATGCCCAGCTCCTGCCTTGGGATGGCTTGTTTCACTGGGCTCTCTGCTTGCCAGACAAGGCTTTCCAGAGGCGCCTGCAGGCACTGAGGGCTCCCTGGGCTGGAGTCCTCAGCTGATCGTATGGAGGAGATGACTCAGCTCCCGCTGTTCTACTTTCAGTGTGTTCACACGGCACAAACGTTGGCCTTCGTATTGCAGCAGCAGCGAATGCTGTCGTACCAAGGAACGGCGTCTTGGTGGCAGTATCTTTGGCAGATCTTGGGTTAATTGTTTTTGGTGGAGGGGTGTGTGGGGGTCCTAAATAACCGATGGAACTGGGGAAGGCCCCTTAGCTCCTGTCCCTGCGGTTGCAGAATGGAAATGTTTGCTGGCTGGCCAGATGTATTTGCATACAAAAGTAATTATCTAAAATCTAGATAATAAACAAACTCATTTCATAAGCAAAACTGTGTGAGAGCAGCCCAGCTCTAATAAGTTGGCAAGCTGGATTTTATTTTTAAATATCTTTTGGAATGAACCTGTTAACGGCTATTTAATTTCCTGGATGCAGGTTAGACAATGTTGCTGCAAACCAATGAAGCGTTTTGGGAATGAAATCGAGCATGATTCTGTAGAAACTCACTGCGTAGTAGGTAGAAGGATTTAGAAAAGGGATTTGCCCTGCTTTGCAAATGCAATGAAATGCCATCCAAATACTTTCAGATGCAGATTGCGAACGGCTTCTCAGCAGGAGTAGCTAAGGCCCAAGATGGCCAAGCGACACTGCCAGAAACCCCGGGTCGTGTGGTAGTGTTTGAAACTCCCATCCTGGGCTTCTCTACACGCAGCCCTTTGCACTAGCCGCTGACTGACACTGACTTTCTGCTGGAACCTGCTTGCCAGGTCATCTTAAGCTGGGAACGGGAGGTCACTGAAAACAAGAGTAGAGCGTTTTGCTGTATTATTCATGTTGCAAACACACAGTAAGAGACAGTCCCTTGTTCTGAAGAGCCCCAGTCTAAGTGAAGATGAAAGGCAACAAGTGTGTATAAGAGACTGAGAGAAGAGTGCTGGGGAGGTGTGATTAGCGAGACTAGCTGAGATCTGTTAGCTGTGTTAATGAAATGGGTTTGCTGTCTAATCATTTGATTGGCAGGGAAAGCAGCTCTTTGTTGAACCCACTCAATCATTTCCCTCTTTTCTCCTGTCACTTCTTTGGAAGCCTTGGCTGCCATATAGAAATGAAGAACGTGAGTCAACAGTGTGCGTTTTGTTTAAACATGGCACTCTTGTTTGTGGCTTGTACAGCCTGAAAATGGGTTTGAAACTGGTTTAAAATTAGTGTACATCTGAAATTGCTGGTGGCGTTGGTTGCTTTGGGAGGGAGGTTTCGGATGCAGCCCCTTGGAGATTGTGATCTGTTCTTCTGCACTGGAAAATATTCCAGAACCTCATGATTCTCCACAAAGTGAGGTGGCCGGTGGATGCCGTGTCAGTGAGCGGGGAGGCTCCTCTCTAAGGTACCTGAGGTACCTGGACTGACAAGAGCTGGGGGAGCACAGAGGCCCTGAGCCGTTGAGAAACAGGAGCAGCGGAGCATGTGCATGTTCAAGGGGGGGGGCGGTGTCCAGCTCGGAAAGGTCATTGTTGCTGCTGGGGTGTGGCTGGATCAGCAGGTGTCCCAGGCCTTGCCCGGAGGTCCTGGAACGCTGGCACTGTTCCTGACGGCTGCACGTTCGGAAATGGGTCATGGGCAGCATTCTGTTGTGGAGTGAGTGACCTGCCCATTCTCTCAGTACCATGACACACACCTGTGGCTTTCACTTGCCGCATTGGCCTGGCTGCGAGTTCGGTGATGCTGAGGGGTGTTTGGTTCGAATGCCGTTCAGTGGCTCGGCAACGTGCCGAATGTAAAGGGATCGAAGTAAACTCTCGAGGTGAGGGCTCTTCGTGGTCTGGTGCGAGCAGGGCTGAGTGGCCAAGCCTGAGGGAGGCACTGATGGACTAAGAGTTCTCTCTTCATTGAGCCAGTGCTTTAAGGCTCGGGCTCTCGAAACCAGGGCCACAGGTCCCCATTCACCCCCGAGCCGGGATTGCTAAGCGGGGCGGTGTCTCTTTCAGTGGAGTTGTAGCTATGACTCTTCTTAAAAAACCCAAACCACTCCCCTCCCTGATCACTAGACCCCCCCCACACACCCTTTTCTGATGCCAGCAGGCTTCCCCTCCTCTGAGCTGGGCTCCGTTCCGCCTCTCCCATCAGTCACCAGAGCTGCTTCCACGTCCTGACTCCGGAGCTGCTGGTGCAGCCAGGGCGCAAACGGATTCTTCCCCTCGGTGCCGCGCCTGTGGTGCCAGGGCTCGGAAAAATCTCTACCAGGCTGGTTCTGAACTAGGCCCCAGACAGGGACCAATGTCACGTAGCTGGTTCCTGCCTCCCACAACTTCGTCCCCCGCTCCAGCTCCGTGGCTCACCCCAGTCCGCAGGCTCTGGTATGGAGACAGCGTAGTCTCTTAAAGGGTTAAACTCTTCCAATTGGAGTGAAACCCCCTTCTGGTGAGTTGTGATAAACAATACCTCCGGCAGGGCAAGGGGGGGCCTGTACCCAGTCGAAGGCTCTCCAGTCACTCTTCCTTGTGTTTGCAGCCCCAGCGTCCTCCTTCCCTTTCAGCTGTGCTGTGCCCATGGCTGCCCCACTGAGCCAGCGAAGTTCCCGCCTGCTCTGTTCCTGTGTGGGAAGGGCAGTGAGGGGCAGAGCCTGCGTCCGTGACAGGCAGTGAATCTCTCTGCCTCCAAGGTGGCAGTGGAGGGCACAGCTGCGGCTCAGGGCCCTCTCATTAGCCACCTGGCTGGCTCTGCTGCTGTGATCGAGTTTGCTCTCACAAGCGCATCCGTGTTCTTAGGGGGTAATTGGCTCAGGCAGCGGGATGGGGACGGGGTTCTGCTGTGGTCGGTCATTGCCTCCTTCCTTTCCCCCACCTAGTCCCCACGGGTTATGCCGCCAGCAGGCGACTGGAGCCAGGACTGCAGAGTTTGACTTCTGGTTCTGCCACTGACTCATTGCATGACCTTGGCAAGACCCCGCATCCCTCTGTGATTCCTGTCTCTGTCTGTAAAGGGGGGACATGGCTTGCCCAGCTGAGAAGGGGGCTGTGTGGCTCGCTGCTGGGGCGAGCTTTGAGATCCTTGCATGAGGGGCAAAGCTCCCTTCCCCCAAATCTGACAGGTTCAGGAATCCCTTCCCTCATCACGGACGCAGTCAGCTGTGGGGGGCCTATGACAGTTGTTCACCAGAGCCCTGCAGCGCTCCGGAAGGGAAGGAGGGAGAGCGGGGCTCGGGGCCCCCTGGGTGAATTGGTTGGTAGCAGGTAACTCCTGGCCTGGAACTTGGCCAGGTTGCCGGGGTCAGCGCCCACAGAAAGGGGGTGGGCTCGGTAATCATCACAAGAGCCAGGGCCACGGCATTGAGTCTCCTGTGAAAACGGGGATGTGCTGCCTGAGGATTTCTGGGTGCTAAAGCCGAGGGGCTGGGATACTTTATTAGTGTCTCCTGCTCTTTATCTGCGGTTTGACCTTTTGACCCCCCCCCAAGACTCCACCCCCCCCACCCCAAATCTATCATCTTCCTTTCCTTGCTCCCGGATCTCCTTGGGATCCATTGACATCTGCGTAACTCCCATGCTCCAATGGGGACTGGCTGGGCGCACGGACTCTGGCCGTTTGGTGGGGGGAGTTCGGACACCAGTGGGGCCGATCTGCAAGTCGCACCGATGTAATGTGTGTTGGCTGGAAAGTGGCTGACTTGGTACTTGCCATTCATTGCCACTGCCTGAATTGAAAATCCTGCGTGCTGGGGCCTCTCGCTAGCAAAGGGCTGGCTGATGCCGCCGGTTACACGGGCACCGCCTGGAGTCCCTCGTACCGATTGCTCCCAAAGTTGACAACAGGTGTATGTTGCGTCTGCAGCAAGAGGCTTCGGGGTTGTGCTGCTTTCTGCCCCTCCCCAGAGCCACAGACTCACCGTGGGCTACTCGGGCAGTCTGCCTCTGGATGCAGTTTCACTTGCGCTGCTGCAACAAATAAACATCCCTCCCTACACACGCGGCCTCCCCATATTCCCCCCCCCCCCCGCGAAGAACAGAGCGCTGTGCGGCCGGAAGAGGCACCTCAAATCCCTCCACTTGTGTCTTGCTCCCCATTCCTCCCGGCGTCCCGTCTGTCTTGTTCTCCGATGACGGTGCTTCCTTGGGGCGGCTCCTTTGGTCGTCCCTTCCTGCGTCCCAGTTCCACGCATTGGCGTCCCCTTTCTCTCCTGGGGGGGAGCCCAGCGCCAAAAGCGGGTTGGACCTACAACTTCCCCTGCTTTTTGTGGACAGCTTGTTAAAAGGCAGCCCTCTGCCTCCCACTGCTGGCGTGGGAGGGGAGTCGAGTGGCTACCACACCTTGCTGGCTGATGAAGAAGAAATGGGATCACAGCCGCCCCCTTCCCAGCCTGTTGAGGATCAGCTGAGGGCTGCAATCTCCCTCCCCCAGGCTGGCAGAGATTAGCTGTGGTAAACTTGGCCAGCTGTGAGCCAGGACACTCGGCCCTTCAAATATCCAAGTGACAGTGGATGATGTGCAAGAAGCTGCCTCCTCCGCCCTGTGCCCTTTTGCTTTAATTAACTTCTGCTTTTGGCCCGGAGAGCAAACAGAGCCTCTCCCCTCAGTTCAAAGTGCCCGTTTTCCCTGGGGTTTCCATCACGCTCCACCCCCCCCTCCTGCTGCATGGCCTGATTTATCTATTTAAACTGCACATCCATCAGGCTGTTCCCTTCCTATTAATTAAATGGTCTGTGTGGGGGTTGCCTCTGCCCCGCCGAGAGCAGGGACGAGATGATGGAGCACTTGCATCCTTGAAACTAATCTGGCG